TATATATATATATATATATATATATATATATATATATATAATCATGGACAGCCAATAATCTTTGAATTTAATTAAACGGACGTTAATTAAATTCGAATGGTAAATTTACCTCGACTAAGTCTCCGTAAGTGAATGTGACCTTGACCCTCTTCTCGGGTGTCAGATCGACGTGTACCAGAGGATCCAGCTTTCCGTGAATAGCCACCAGCTCGGAGTACCTGAAAACAATGATGGACAACAGGGTCAAGAAAAAAGACGTTTGTTCCACTGGCTGTGGATGACTATGACCGTGAAACTAGAATAACATTATGGGTAGCCAGTTCGTGTACTAGAATAGAAACGATCGAAGCAGGGACCGAAATGGAAACGGCGAGAACTGAACTCGCAAGGCGGATCATTAACGACATTCGAACGACAAAGCTAGGTGAAATATGATACGTGTACGGTGGGAGGGGAGAGTAGAAAATGGAGAAGCGGGAAACGAGAATGTAAACAAAGCGCAAACAAAGATCGTGACCAAAACAAATTCGACCTTTCCGGCCTGTCCGCTTCGGGTTTGTCCATATAATATCGAATGAAGGCCCTTTCGGCGTCCTCGCGCTCCTGGGAGGATATGGCCCCGCCGCCGTTCAATGTCTCGACATTCGGAAGTCTGGCGATTAACAGTTGCCGCCTCTCGTGCTCGGTGTACTCTCGAGGACTCTGAAATTGGCCAATTAAATTTTAATCCCTTCTTTTCTTCTCCATCCCGTCCATCGAAATTAATACGTAATAATTATATTATATATTATTATATATATATATATATATTATAGTATATATATATATATATATTAGACTTTACGATTTTTTTTTTTTTCTTTTAATTCGAATTACCTTCGATCGATTTATTAATGTATCCTCTTACCTGTTAATTTTCATTTCAAAGAATTATTTTAACGGGACGTTAAAATTTATTTTCCGAGAGATGGAACAACAAGTAAACTGATCCGCTTGATTTCGTGCCAATGTGTTAATTCTAGTACACAGTGGCGCGCACTAGATAGAAATCCTACGATTTTTACCATCTTAGCTCCTTAGCGTCTTCCATTTCTATTTTCTCGGTTATTTTAACCGATCGATTTCGATGCTATATTATTTCAAATTTTCAACGAGCGAACATTTACCTCGAAAAGGGGGCAGCCCTGAATCCTCAATGATTTAAGCGCTGGAAACCTGGCAAGCCGCTCTACGTCATCCCACGTGGACAACAGGGTGCCGTTCACGTTCAGAAACCTTAGCTTTCTGAAAGGATCGTGAGACGACCTGATAGTCGTGCCGCTCGATTCCGATTCCGACTCTGATCTGTCGTAATTCAATTTTCCCTCGCTGAATATCCTGTTCCCCTTCTCGTCCACCATCGATGTGCCCTCCTCCTCCTCCTCCTCCTCCTCCTCCTCCCCCCCCAGATTGTTCATATTCTCGTTGTCCTCGCTCAGATTCTCCGCCCCCTTCTTCGAGCACGGCTCCTCGTTCGAGTTTCTATTGTCAACGAGAGCCAACGACCTTATCGGGCACTCGGCTAACACAAGGCTCTCGAGATTGGGGAATACGTAGCCAAGTTTCGAAATTTCGTTCCACACCTCGACGGGGTTCCCGGTGAAATGGAGCTTTTTCACGGACACGTTCTTATTCTCGGGTAATTGATAGTCCAGGTCGACCGTCTTGTACTCGTTCAACGAAAGATGAAGCTCCTCCAGATTACGAAGAAGACGGATCAATCCCTGGACCGTGGACCAGGTCACCCTGGTTCCGTTCAACACGAGATTCTTCAACATGTCGTAGCTCCCGTGCTTGATCTCGAGAACCTCGGCAAGACAGTTGAAGCTAAGATTCACGAATTTGATCTTGGGCATGTGTTGAAGAATACCGAACACCTCGGTCCATTGGGACAGTTTGTTTTGCGCGAGGTCGAGCTCCTCCACGTTCCTGCATTTCTTGCTGAGTTTCTCCGCGTCGTTCCCGGCCGACTCGATGTCGCAGTCCTGCAGCACGAGCAACGCCGGCACGGTGTGCCGGGGCGACTTCTTCGGGATGAAGATGCTGACCGAGAGGGCGGCCTTCGGCGAGCTCGACTCGGTCTCCTCGTCCGTGAGGGAACAGTCGGTCGTTGAACTGCCGTACTTCAGCTCCAGCGCCTCTAACAATGACGGCATGTTTACTGCATTCTGAAACCGATCACTAGTTTAAATAATTATCCTTCCTTATAATTGTTGTTATTATAAAAAAAAAAAGACATACGTGTTAATACTAATTCTATTCTTTTATATTTTCTTTAATTCGTCGTTCTTTAAAAATTCTACATCATCGTTTCTAATATTCTAATATTCGTTGATCGGTAAAAATATACCGAATGCTCTCCGAGAGAGAAGAGAAACAAAGAAAAGTTTCGCGAGATGCGCGAGACGGCTTTTGTTATCCGGAAAAGGAAGAACGAGAAAAAGGAAGAGAGGGAGGACAAGAGCAGTTGAGACAAGGAAAAAAGTCCGTGGATCGAACGGATCCTCGAGGTCGAAACGTCGGGATATCTGGTCTGACCATATCTGTTAAGGTCGTGTATATTGTCTTTTTGCGCATAGGAAAACCGGTACTGGTTCCCTTGTTGTTGCTGGAAAACGACGAACGACGAGCTTCACCCACGCAATTCTCCTTTTATTTCCACCTTTTTCGACAAAAGATCGTTCCAAAGATAATTCTCCTTCCGTCGAATCTCTCGAGTGCAAAAATGCGAATCGACGTGTGCAGAAACATCGATAGTTCGAAAGGTACAAGGAAAATAAAGCTAAAAGATTATTTCATAGTGTACGCTCTATACGCATGCGCCGAACGTTTGAAGAAACTATCGTTTCACAACGGAACGAATAGTCGGATTGAACGCGTTCGACTTTCACCGAACGCGTTAAAATTNGAGGCAGGCCAACTCGTGTCGTTTCCATTTACACGAAACTTTTTAACCATTGATTCGTCTCTGTGTACATATATGTCGCCCAGATCGCCTTTCTAACGGCGAATTTATCTTGTTACGTTGCAAGACTCGACGACGAGAAAAACTAACGATCTTCTCCCGTCTATATATCCGTATAGGTTGCAGCAAAAGGGACGCAACAGTTTCATCCCCGTGGAAAATCGGTGGACAGAGCGATGGAGAGACAAAGGTCCGCGCGATCCGCTCGACGCACAGCAGTGGACCGGCATAATAGTCGTTGTTGCATTATAGTCCCCGGCTTCCCCTACGTAATCGCGATATCGGTTCAACGGCCATGCGAAATTAACTTTCTCCGGACGGGTCTGGCCGACGAGAAGCCCACTAGAGGCAGCTCGATGCACCGTTGTAGCGCGCTATAGACGGATTTACTGGCAAAGCGCTCGAACCGTTTTCAAACCGATTCGATCACTTTTAAACACCTCTCGAACGTCAAAGTGTGTTAATCGATTCCTCTTGCAGTTTGGCTTGATTTGATAGCTCGACGTGAATGGGACGGTGCGTGCTGGATATAATGGCAATTAATCCAGCGGTATTACGTAGAGAGTGATATAAATAACAAGAGGCAAAGCAGTTGAGGATACTCGAGGCTGATTTTATATCTTCGGTTCACGTCGATAGGATATTTTAGTTTCGTTACGTTGCGAGGGTTAATTGACGCAGAGAGCAGCGAGCAGAGGTTGTTTCAAGTACT